AAGGACCACTGGAGATTGTGTGATGGGAAAGGATGAATTAGTTTGATTTATCTCTGTGGTCTTTTCCATTTCTAACCAAATTAGTTTGGATAGAAACGGCTGTGTCTGCTTAAGCATTCTTATACTTCACAAAGTTCTTTGTTGCTTTATGATGCACCTTTAATCCTAAAATACACAGACTCACCTGATTTGTTTATATCAGACAAGTTAATTTGATTTTGAGCTTAAGTGAAGGACTAGGTTATTATGTATTATAAAGTGCATATAGGAGTTAATGATGTTGTCAATCAATGCTGACCTCAATTTAAAATGGAGGTTTGGAGGTCAACAAAGTGATGACTTTCATTTCTTTTCCCTCAGCAGCAGAGTGTTTTCTCCATGAATCTACCTGCAACTATCACTTGTCTGACTTTAGGCTTTTGCCAGCCTCTGTAATGACGGCGAAAACATCAATTCATCGTATATGTTCTGTAAATAAGAACATCTAACCCTGAGTGAAATTCAATACTGTCTGTGTTGAAGCGTGGAGAGGGAACATCATATTTTCAGCCTGTGCCAGATTAAGCCATTAGCAGGCTGGGGCTTGTACTATTAGTGCATCATAATGAGAATAATAAAATCACCAAAACAACCAATTGGATGAAAGATGAGATGCTGAGATTAATTACTATGACACAGCAGAATCGCAGTATTCATTTGAACAAGCCATGTTAGATTACAGGGTATTATAGCACAAATCCTGTGTTGCCTCTCCCTGCTGCTAAGTTTGTTAAATGTATTCCACCTCCTCACCAGCGCAGACATCACACCTCCAAAAAGGAACATCTGTCAAAAGCCAGAACCATGCATATCGCTTAGTGTGTGTGTGTGTGTGTGTGTGTGTGTGTGTGTGTTTGGGGGAGATCTCACCCCACGCACACAGCAGCCTGAGAGGTGCTTAACACAAAAAAAGATAAGTCTGACGTCTGATTATGTGCATTTGTGCAAGAGCATCCTGCTGCAGCGTCTTAACTCGGCATGAAATCACAGCCTTGAGTTGAGTGATGGGAGGTATTCTTTATAAATCCAGCTCTGTGTTTATACATTTAACGCTTAAAGTATGTCTTTTTGCGCATTGAGAGGCTACTTTATGGTTATATATTCTATATTAAGAGCTTCTACCGAATAAGTTACGCGCTGGATGAGTCGGTGCTACAGCTGATGGCTAAGGATGACTCGTTCAATTCCAGGAATAGTTTTGGGAAGCACTGTTTCTCTGTATTGTCTCACTGTGAAGCACTGCATTTTCCCATAATGTTAAACTATTCCTTCAAAAAAACTAAAATATGAGTCATGATATTGAGCCTCTTGCTGTCTGGAGCGTTTTATTTGTCTTGTTTGATTTTTTTTTTAAAAGTCTGAATTTTAAACCTGTACTTTAAGAAATCAGATTTCTATAATTGTGTTTGTGTTACCCTCCAACAGGTTCCCAGTGCAACACCGCACCTTGAGCCTCTGTGATGTGCTTAGTCATACACAAACATCTATTACAGGGATTTTTTATACAGTACCAAATCTAACAAGATGATGAGTGATACAAAACACCAAGAAAGGTGTTGTATATTTGTCTTTGCAGCCAATTTTCTCTCAAAGCTTTTTTCTTCCTTTTAGTCCGTGCAGTTGTGTTTGATTCAAGTCGGAGAAAGCCCATTTATCACAAAATCATCAGGTATGGTAACAGCTAAGTAGCCTACTTAAATGGACCCATGGATCATTGCAATCCAGTCTTGCATTAAGTGTAATTTTTTAACCCATCAAATAAGAAGGCCGAACAAAATGAAAATTAATAGCAAAAAGATACAACTTTTTTTGAGGTTTGAAACACAAATGCTGTGTCTATTAATTCAGCTTGTATTTTACTGTGTGTTGTTCTGTTTTGTTTGTAATATGTCAGAAGATGCAGCTATGTGTGTTGTCCTATAATGTATGTAAAAAAAAAACAACAACGACATGTTATAAATAATGACATCCCTTTTTTAGAGATTTTACTCACGCGGATGCTCTTCTTTTGGCAAGTAAACAACAAATATTGAAAACTATCAGACTCTCACCACATGATGGAAGCCTGCCGTCTGTGCATTTACGCACAGATGAAGTCCAAGCTGCCATACTGGCAAGCCAAAGCAGTATATTTTGATCGCTCATCATCTTTGTTTCTTATTTTTGAACATTTTAAAGACAGGGTTTAGGAACCTTAATATTAAGCAAATGTTTGTTGAGTAAATTGCACCCACAGCTGCAGGATTTGTAATATGCAAACACTGATTAGATCCATAGGAGCTATTAGTTTTTAATATAACCAGGAGGGAAACACGGGGAGCCACATCTGCAGTGAGACATAAAAACAACTTAATTAGTAATTACGGCTTGTTCTGGCCTAAATTGGTACTTTCAAAACTGGGTTGCTCATCAGAAAGTTAACATTACTTTGCTTCTGACCCTGTCCGCTTGAAAAATTAGTTTAACTGAAAACTGTAATTATTTTTGGTCTAGTTTTTAAGGCAGTGTTTGTAACTATCGGTTAGATGCCCCTTCCTCTCTGCTCTCACACAGAGCACATTAATTATTTGTGAGTAGGAGCTCCTCACCTCACTAATGCTTGCAAATTCAACCCAGGTGCACGAATCGCCTTTGAATGAGACACTGGGATTTTCACCTTAATAATTTCTGAGCTAACTTTGTAGAGGAGATGAACCCTGGTTGGACGACAACCGCTGCAGCTGCTTTGTGTGCACAGAAGTGGATGCCATAGACGGGGGAGAAAGGGAGAGAGGGCTCCTCTTAATAATGGGCCACAGGAAGAGCATGGCAGTGCATAGTTCAAAGTGTTCATCAAAATTCACACTGGCCGAGTTCAGCTCGCAAAGTCGGGGACGACCTGCTGAGCTGTGCTGGAGGAAATCTATAGAAACAAATTTACTCCAAGTCTGTTGGTCTGAGCATGTGCAGAAGATAACTGGCTTCAATTACAAAGCCCTTTCTCCTAATTGAAAATGCAGCTAATAGCTTAAGTGCTTGCTATCTGGGATAGCTAAAACAATGTGAAGGGGGCTCCCTGGGGTTGAGCATTCACACTATGCTTCTGAATGTGGGATTCAACCCTAAAGCTGCTGTTTTTGGGCAACATCCTCCCTCCCTCTCGACACTCTCCACTGTGTGCCATTCAGTAAAACTGAAATGCCTTCTGATATATCAGGAGGGACTGTGTTGCACTGCCGTACTGTGATGCAAATAGCCTGAGACACAATCACTACACATAGTTGGCCTCTCGTCCTGCAACACGGACTGAATTCTGATGCAACTCATACGGATAATAAACACAATACTACACAAGATAAAAGATTGCAGCCGTTCCCATTACATTTTTAACTACTCATGCTGCTCCCCTGAGCTGCAGAGGGCAAGGAATAACAAAGCTGGGGGAAGTCTCGGCTCCTTACCTCTGATGGGTTATTAGTTATTCTAGCTAGCAGAAGCCCCATTAGGTCTGCCATTTAATGCTCCCATGCCACCTTCTCACATGAAGGCTACGAGATTGATAAACCGACCATCTCACCTCAAGCTCCCCTTGTGTTTGAGAAATGCTCCGCCACAGATAATCGGACAAAGAGCTGATTTAGGCGCCTGTGTACCTCGCAGTGTGTGACATTACTGAAAAACAATGAAACATATTTGTGGCAGCCCCTCAAGTGGCCCCAGCAAAGGCCAAAACAAGAATGAAGGTACAATCCACTGACTTAACACATTATAATATGATTTATAGGGAATATAGGAAATAAGCAGTGTGTTGGTGTGAGATAAAACTTTGTCTCTGAGCTTTGCTGACAGATACAATGAAGAAGAATGTCTCCTGCGCTCCACAGCATGTCTGCTTAGACTGACTGAAGGTGCAGCTAAGATTCCAGTGACACAACATATTTTCCAACACAACATGTCCTGTTAATCACAGTTAGCTCCAATGCAAAATGAAAATAAAAGCTGCTGCAAAGGAAGATGCATGTGTAGCAGTGGGGAGGGGGGGGGGGGGGGAGTATACAGACAATCAAGCAGGAGCAAATTGATTAGCTGTTCTGTCTCAATCCGTCTTTGCTTTGCTTACAGAAGTTGTGAGTCAGAGATGTGAAGGAGTCCCGCTGTCGGATGGGAATATAGGTTTGAACTCTTGGGCCAAAATTTTGCAGAATACTTTTCTTTATGTTTCTTTAACTAATTTAACAAAGTGTAATGCAGTTTTATTTTTACTGCAGCAGTAAACAAAAGCCAGACAGAAATCGAGCCCAAAGGCATAATTTATCTTTTATTTGGCTGCTGGTCTTTATAGTTTCCTCCAGCCTGCAGTAACTCTTTGAACTCTGTAAATTAAACTAATGAGTTAAATCCTAAGTAGATGATTCCTAGAGGAAGAAAAGGAGGATGGGATCCATGATCAGTGAGTATGTAGGTAAGTATGAACATATGAAGGACAGCTAAAAACACAAATATCAAAACTCACATGACTGATGTGTTTGCTACTACAGCTGTGGTAGCAAACACACAGGAAAGGAAAGGACCACCTGCAAAGTGACTTGATCGAATAGCACTCTTTATCATTCCAAACAGGGCAGCAATTCATTTATGAATAAATAACAGACTGGCTGATAATACATAGATTCATCAATGGGCTCTTTTATGTCAGGGATGACAGATGAAGCCACTTTGGTTCTATCGCATTTCACTGTATGCAAGTTATCCGCAGAGAGGAGCTGCCGCTGCAGTTTCAGCTAATGGGACTCATATTTTAGCAATAAAACTGCATGATTCACAACAACAGCTGGGTAATCATATGGAACCGAACAAACCCAGCATATTGCAAAACAAGTCACTGTGCACTGACCTTTACTTCCTTATCCCAAACCGACACAAGCAGAGGAGGAAAAAAAACAAAACAAGTATTCTTCTCTGCAGATTGTTAGAAAATTTACCTCTCATGCCTCGCAGTGGAAATGGATTTTTGGAGGGCAACGGTCATACCTCGCATTCCCTGGAGCCTGAGATGGTGTATGTGTAAGGTCCTGTCCCATTAACCAGCACATCCATAGTCTCTGAGTGTGAAGGCTTGTAGTCCACATAGTACTCTTGCAGTGGAGAATTAAGGGAGCGCTCGGTCTCCCGCGCCTTTTTCTGGCGCTTTTTGACCGCCGAGCGCTGCTGAAGCTGTTTGATACTGCTCGGATAGCGCTTCCAAGACACATAGATAACCAGGAGAATTATAGCCACAGATAAGAGGAGGGCCACAGTACCAGCTATGATCTTGTGGAAGGACACATACTCAGTGTCTGGCAGAGGGATGGTGGGGGAGGCCTCGGTGGGAGTAGGGGAGGCTGTCCTGTTCCAGATCAGCTTCTTATCCACCACAGGCAATGTGGGAAGAGGAGGCAGCTCAGGCTGAAACGTAGAAGTGAGAGGGGAAGTGGTTGTTGTTGTGGTGGTTGTGATAGGAGAAGGTGTTGCTGTACAGATATTATAAGTCTCCACCACATCTGTCACTTTCTCTCCTTGAGCCTCCTTAGGACCGGCACAAATCATCGTAGTCTCCTTGTTGCCCTTAAAGGCCTGGAGCCAGGCCGCCAGGGGACATATGTTGGGATTACAGTACCATAAATTACCAGCCAAACTAATGGTGGTGAGGGAGATCCAGGCCTCTACAGTCTCCTGAGACACATTGCTCAGTTTGTTGGAGTCCAGGTTAAGTGTCTGCAGATTAGGGAGACACTGAAATGTGCTTGGGTCCAACACTTGGAGCTCGTTCCCCGAGACATCCAGTTTTTGCAATGAAGTCCACATCCACGGCAGGCCCTGGGTGAGCAGTTTGATACGGTTCCACTGCAAGTAAAGCGCCCTGAGGTTAGTCAGACGGGGGAAGTGGGAAAAGTTTATCTTTGAGAACTGGTTGTGCTCCAGGTGAAGCTCTATGAGCTTCATGAGTCCCGCGAAGGCGTTGCGTGTGAGGCTCCGCAGCCTGTTGTAGCCGATGTCGAGAAACTCAAGGTTACGACAGTCGAGGAAAACTCGCATGGGGACGGTTTTTAAGGAGTTTGACCTCAAGTGTAAACTGAGAAGTTTCCGTAGACCGAAAAACTGCTTGGGTTGGAGAACCTGCAGTTTATTGTAGGAGAGGTCGAGGTTACGTAAATTAGGAACATCATGAAACGTGTTGTTCTTGAGCAGTGTGATCTTATTTGAGCTGAGGATCAGTTCTTTGAGCCTCCGTATCCCATGGAAAGCCTGACCATCCACGGCATTGATGTAATTATGGTCCAGGTAGAGCCAAACCAGTTGGCTCAGACCTGCAAACTGGTGGCTTCTGAGGTTGGCCAGGCTGTTGTAGCGCAGGGAGAGGCCCTGTGTGCCTACAGACACATTGCTTGGCACATCACGGAAAGCATTGGATTCACAGTATATTATTTTCCCATCACATCTACAGCTCAGGGGGCAGGGACGCTCACGGATGCTGCTTGGAGAAGCAAGCAGCCAGGCGGGCACCACAACTGTGAATACAAGCCATCTGAACAGCACGAGAAGTCCTGAGGACACACAGAAAAGTGAAATACTTAAGAGCATAACATATTTATCCACAAATAAGTACCAAAATACTGGGACTACATTAAGACTGAATAAACTGCAATAGAAATCAAATTGAATCAGACAACCAGCCATTATTACCCATCCTATGTTTTCAGGCATGAGGGGTTATTTGCAGCTCACTTCACACACACTTACAGTCATTATCACAGTCAAAGTCATGCTCTAGGGACATTGGAAAGGTGATTGATATCCACACGCTTCAGTCTAAACCTATCACATAGTTACTGAAAATCTCCCTCAGATCCCCCTGCCTGCAGTCATCACTCACAACCCGCAGGAGACAAAGACACCGGCAACATTAGCTTTAAGTGAATTGTAATTATCCAAACGACTGAAGACTTTGCGCAGAAATGCAGACCATGAGTACCTTGCAGAGCAGCGTACATACCCATATTTGTGGCGGGTCGGCTCATCCTCGTGTTTAGGGCTGTCTGTTGCATGCGTCCCGGGTCCACATGTTAGAGGTTTTGTCCAAAATAGTTGGACACGCACCCAGGACGTCTTCAAGGAACATAAACGCAATTTGCGTCGCAGCCGGATCCGATTTGCGCACGGCCGCACACCTGTCGGAGATGTGAGTAGCTCCAGAAGGTGTGCATCCACCTCTGCCTGTAGTTTCCTACGTTACCGCACAACATCAGCCTGAAAATAAAGCATATTTCAGACCACCTTTCAAAGTCCTTGGATGGGCGCGCTCAAGCTTGCAGGCTCGTGAGAATGACACTGTTTAGCGCGCGCTCTGGGAGGCTCTAAAACACATTTTAAAGACCGAGTCGCCAAATGTTAAATCTAGGTTAAGTGACGGAAAAGACTCTGGAAACCAACCAAGGGGAGAATTTAGTGAGGAAAAAAACTGCGGTCCAAAGCCGACAAGTTGGATGTTTCCTGATTTCTTGGAGGAGAGCGGAGGGGAAAGGCGCAGTCTGCTGTGGATTAGAGCCGTTGACCGTGGCATCACGAATAAATCAGTTGTATAGCAACAGGAATGATGTTGGAGGAGGATTAGACTGAGATCCTGGCGCTCGTTTCAGGACTTGAGATGCCCTCTCCTGGTCACTGAGTGATTCTCAGCAGCCCACATTAAAGCAGTCTTCATTGTCCTCATGAACATAGGCTGCATGCCAACTAAGGCTGGGGGAGAGGAAGTGAGCTTCCCCTGCTTTTAGATATTTGAGAACATTTTATACCAATTCAAAACCTTTAGGACAGCCTGCTCTTGAGCTTTTTTCACTAAATATGAAGCCATCAAATCTTAGATTAGATTTTCTTCCACCCCCTCTTATTATATGTTAACATGAAGTGGAAGATCTTATACTATACATAATGTATTTGTATATCATGTAACTTTGTAGTTTTCTTATGCATTTAGATTTAGAAAGCATTTTGATTCAGCTCATTCTGGTCCAGCTGATATTTCTGTTATTTGTGCTTTTTGGTAATTTTATCCATAAAGAATCAATTTTTAAATAGAAATGTATGATATGTTTAGTAAAAAAAGTAAGAATAATCAGTAACTTCAATAGAAGTATATGACTAGAATGCTCGTGCTTTCTATTACTCAAAATCTACTTGAACAGAAATATTGTTGCAAAAGAAAACAGAAAAAAAAGGACTTTTCATCCCTTCTTCTAAGAAAATTTACAGTTTCTTCACTAATTCATCCAAACTATTCATTTACATGCTTTGGTGATGCCTGCTGACTCAGTTTCTTATTCAAAGTATAGTGTCCACATTATAGCATGTGCTGTTTTTTGATTGCATTGCCTTCCTGCACAGTTGCAGTTTTAACTGATAGCTCCCTCCACGCACTACCTTCCTGAAAGCTCTCCGGTGTTAACATGATTCCTAATTAGTGTTTCATAGTCAGGTATGCCTGCAGTGAAAAGGTCAGCGTGTTAAGGTTAACAGTTTATGTCTTCTCCTAGTGTCTGTGATCCAGTTTTTAGTCATTTCTAATAAAACATTTATTTTTTATATTTTGTGAAATAAAGATTCATAAAACATCAACAGATGTGTAGAGTTTGTGTATTTTATCTCAGTTAGTTGGTTTGGAATGTATCTTTTCATCATTGCCAAGAAAAAGTTAGAAAACCTCAGAGGGTATTTTTTCACTGCTCACTGTTGTGTATTGGCACTGAGATGCATCGTGCATCAACAAAGGGTGCTCTCAGGTCCATAATGGGACTCTGTGTCAGGGTCAAAGTCATCACTTTTAATGGGTCCCTCTGCTCCTGTACTTAATGAGTGGCGTAATTACCAGTGATGGACATTAATGAACATTTGACCTCAAACCGCAGATAGTTTGTGACAAAGAAAATTGGTGAAAACAAAAATAAAACTGATGCATGTAGCACTTCAGTGGCGGTCATTGATTTAATTTTCTTTGTTAGATCAATCTGCTAACTGGAGTTGAAGGACAGGGCAGAAACCTATACTCATACACACAAACACACACACTCCTGTCTCTCAAACCATACCAAGGCGACTGGAAGAATGGCAGCTACAGCACTCAGTACACTGCCCACAGCTTTGAATGTCTCATATCTTCTAGTGTGATTCTTCATTAAGAAGTGGACAAATGGTGCTGCATTCAATATTTCAAACACAATGAAAAATACAATTCTGAGATTGATGCAAAAATAGAGCCGTCACAGAGAATTGGCATGTTTGTTACTCCAGATGTTCAGAATGGAAGATAAATTAGTTTATTTTTTCTCTAACTCAGGCAGGATTTTTAACAATGAGATGTAGTTAAACAGACTACAAAGACTTTGTCAAGAGGCAATCATAAGGGCAGTGTACCAGTACTACAGTATTTTACTTCAATTTAAAATAGATTTTTCAGAATATAATGAAAGATAACTGCTTGTTCTTGCTGTGGTTGCTTTTATTTAATTGGAACCGCCATGAAACTTTTATCAACCAACTCCTTTGGATGGAAACAATTGTATTGAAGGATCATAACACCAACTATAGCCTTTAAATGACATACAGTTACATGCAGAATAAAATAAACGTTGTTTGTAAGATAGGGCGAGAAAATCGTCTCTGCTATCAACTCAAGATAAGATAAGATAAGATATACTTTATTGTCCACTTGGGGGAAACTCCCCCGAAAGGGCCCAAACCTCAAGATGGAACACAACACTTAGATTAAAAATCTCTTGATTGTACAAAAGCCACAGCATAATACCCAAACTAAATACACTGAATAAATACACAAATGAATACGTTACAGAATAAATGAAACATTTATTGCCTGTAGGGGGAAATTCTTTGCTCCCAGAGCAAAACAACAACAACTCAACATGACTCCACATGAAAATAAATGAAAACAAATCAACAGAAATAAATAATCAAAGCATGACGCTGTAAACCGTGATGATTTAGAATGCCAAGTTCAATGAACGGCCCACATTAGACTGTGGTATTAGGTATGTAGGATGATGTAATTTGTGTTTCTGTAGGCCATGGATTACGATTGGGATAAAGAGTTCTTGTGAATATTTCTCTCTGCCTGTCGATGTTGTGCTTTGCCTCAGTGCACTGGCTGTCTGCACCTGTTTCAGATCGGACTTAAAGCTGTTCATTTGCACTTAGTGACGTTGTTTGCTCCTTTCTAAATCCTCTCTTGTGCTGTTCTTACTCTCAGATGTACGTCGCTTTGGATAAAGGCGTCTGCTAAATGAATTGTAGAATTGTAGGTTGAGTGTAACCTGAAGACAGTAACTCAAACTCAAGGTAGAGAGGATGTGTTTTGTCACTGATGACTGACAGGGCTTTCCCGTGTACAGCTATGATTTAAAGGTCATCTAATGGCTTTTGTTGGCAGCCTTCAATCTTCCATTATCAATCCTGTTCAGCTTGTTGCTGTTACCAAAGTGAAGTGCCCGAACCAAACAGAGAAATCTTAAACAAGGATGTTCTCCGACTGTCAGTCTCTGTCTTTCTTTTAGTGGTGAACTTATTCATCTAACCTCTTTACAACACATTTTCCATAAACTTTGAGTTCTTCTTCAGCGTGTTACAGAGAACCTCTGTATTGTGTTATAGTGGGATGATGAGACTTTTGTCATTAGCTAAAAGCTTTTTAGGTTGTGGGAAACTTTTAAGAGATCAATTATAAATGTCTGTGCAGTCTGGTTACCCCTAAAGAGATGGGAGTTAGACCAAGCGTCTTTACAGTGGATATACAGTATTACAAAGTATTACATACAGTCATAAAAACATTAGAAAAATTCAAATTTTAACCCAGATCTTGATACTTTACCAATCTGTCTAAATAAACTTTGCAGAGATCACAAAGTAGCCTATATGTTTTCTGATCAAAGGTTTGAATAAGAAGTGAAAAGAATGACTGTTCAGGAAAGAGGCATTTTATAAACTCTAAAAGGCATAAAGAGTGTTTGGTGTATGACACTGTATCTCTGACATCCTCTGTTCCAACTATGCACTGTGGTGTATACTTAACCACACAGGAGGAATTCAAGACGTAGACTTAAAGAAAAAATCTATTTCTTCCCCAAGGCTTTTGGTATAGTCTTTTAAGTTTTGAAGCCAAAAGGGACCATGTTTGGACCATAGGTTGGAGCTGGAGAGAAGTGACTGATTGGAAAACAAAGACTTATCAGATTACTATTCCTTAATTAAACATAACTAGGAAAATCAATGGGAACGCTCGTTTTTTCACTATACACTTGGCAGAGGCAATAACTCAACGAGAGGTCTGGTCAACTTTCTCAAAGACTTCTATACAATCAGACTTACAGGTTTTATAAACAGCAGGGTGGACCCCTGCTGCAGGTTTAGGGCACATCCAAATGGATTTGATCGGACTTGGAAGCTCTGTTCACTTTTTAACCACGGTCTATTATTGTACAAGAAAATATCTAAAATTCAGAGATTTGTTTACATTTAAATCTGATCATGTAAGGAAAAGCCAAAAAAGAAGAGGTAAGTCTTCAGCATGTATTTAAGTCAAGGGTCAGGGCAGATCTTATGTGAAGAGGTTAACTGTTCCATAGTTTTGGTGCAGCTGCTGAAAAAGCTTTTGAGCATTGTCTTTAGCACATCCAGGAGCAGCTGGTTGGTGGACCTAAGTGCTCTGGCCAGAGAATAGACACTTATCAGATTATTGAAATAAGTCGGTGCCAGTTTATTCCAGGCTTTAAAAGTCAGTCACAACAGTTTAAAATCAATCCTGTAGCGAACAGGAAGCCAGAGGACAGAATGCAGCAGAGGGGTAATGAGGTCCCCCTTTTTTTGTGTCTGTTAGGAAGCGAGCAGCCGCATCTTGGACCTGCTGCAGCCGTTGGATGGATGACTGGTTCAAACCCACACCTAAAGAATTACAATAATCAAGTCGAGATGTGACAAATGCATGAATCACCCTCTCTAGACCAGTAGGTGGGAGAGAGGCTTTTACTTTGAATCTCAGCTGATAAAAGCTCAACTACAACATCTAAAGATCATCTGCAGCGCTGATTATGTCTCTTAAGATGTTATCAACTAAAGAATCAAGAGTGTCCCTCTGTTGACATGAAAAGCATGGAAACTCCAGAAATCAACAAAGGTATAGTATACCTCCATATGCACTCACCTCACTTTGCAAATAACTCAGCCACCAAATTGCTTCCTATGAATCTTTAAGGACTGTCTGTGACTGACTAAGCCCTGAATAAAGGTAAGGAGGTAAGGATCTGCTTTTTTTGCAGCATAATGAATCCCACGGAAACTCTAAAATGCTTGAATAGTGAAGTAATCAGGACAAAAATAGAGGTAAATCTGTTTTATTTACTCCGCCCCTGACCTCTAAATGTGTGACTTTAATTACCCAGCAAATTACAAGCAACATATCCGAGCAGCAGGTTAATACTTGTGGGCTCAACCCAAAACATCTGGCACTTTGTCCCCTGCTGCCTCTGTGACTCAAATAAATAAAAAATACTGCACA